GTGCAGGAGGGGGTATGGGGTGCTGGCTCTGGGAGGGGGTTGGGGTGCAGGAGGGGGTATGGGGTACTGGCTCTGGGAGGGGGATCCCACTGGAGGCACTTACCTCTAGTGGCTCCCGGTCGGCGGTGCAGCGGGACTAAGGCAGGCTCCCTGCCTGCCCCGGCCCCACTCAGGCACATCAGCACCTCCTCACCATCACAAAGTGGGCCACCCCTCCACCCTGCTAGCCAGTAGTGCACCACGTGACCACGCTGCTCCCAGAAGGGGCCAACGTGTGCTGCCTCTCTCTGGAGGCATGGCCCCTGCAGCTCCCATTGACCACAGCTCCCTGTTCTCAGCCAATGGGAGCTGTGGGGGCGGTGCTTGCAGGCAGGAGCAGCACACGGAGAATCCCCCCCCCCCCCCCCGGCTCCCATGGGGGCATGCTGCGCTGGCCACTTCTGGGAGCGGCGTGGGGCCACAGCAGGCAGGGAGCCCCGCTGCGCCGCCGCGGCCAGAGATCGCGATCGACTGGGAGAGTCCCCAGGATCGACCAGTTGATGGTGATTGATGGGCTGATGACCACTGGGCTAGAGAATGGGACGCGAGGCTTTCCCCTTCCAGGGCACTGGCTGAGCTCCATCCCTGGGGCAGGGGCATTGTCTGGCTGCTGAGGGTTAGGAAATGAGATATGGGGCCTTTCCCCTCTAGGGCACCGGTTCCAACCTGGCCATGTGACTACCAGCTGTTCTCATCACTCAGCTGTTCCGGGCCTGTGGGAAAGGGTTTGCTCTGGGGTTGGGCCAGCGCCTAGGGGCTGCTGCCAACACCATAAAAAGGTGACGCTGATTGCCCCAGAACTGGCATCCTCAGCAGAGGCCAAGAACTGAACGGGCCACACGGACTCAACTCTGCCCTCTGCGGTGGTGGTGCAGCGTTTGGCTGGCTAGCCCTATCCCGGCTGTTGTGTGAGGGCCAGTCGGCACTGTGACGTCGCACGCGCTGCCCTTCGCTCGGTTTAAACTTTGCCTGGGAGGCTGCACCTTGGAGCAGGAAGTGCTGGGCACAGTTCTGCCTGCCAGCTTTCTCGGCAATGATTAAACCAAACTCAGCCCGTACCAGTGCAGGAGGGGGAGAAACAAGGCTGGATACCTCAGACTGCGCAGAGCCACCAGGCTCTCCCGACTCGAGCAATGGCCCACGCTGTGGGGGGGTGCGGAGCTGGGGCTGGCACTGCCTCTGGGTGCTGCCCCTGGTCAGTGAGGGGTGAACCCCTCCTGCTCTCCCAGAGGCGCAGTGACAGCTGCCTTGGTGCCTTGATCCCACAGCTCTGGGCTGCCTAGTGCTGCTGTAGGGCACCCGTCCGGTTCCCGTGACAGCCCCTCCCACAGGGCCAGGCCTGTGTGCTGGAGGGTCGTCGGGGGCATGAGCCCAGCGGCTCTTTCTAGTCACTGTCAAGGAGATGTGGCAGTTGTTGCCCTGGATTGAAGTTCTCCGGTTGCCCAGCCACTGCCCCCTCCCCTCTGGCACCGAGGGGCTTTGCTGGGATACACCCACCTGGCAACCTCCCACCCCATCAAGTGCTCTGCAGGACGGTCTCTGGTGTCCAGGGAAGCTCCTGCTTCCTTGCCCCCAGGCTGCCCCCCCCTCGGGCTGCAGTCCCTGCCCAAGCCAGAGCCATGGGGAGCCCTTTGCCCTCAGCCAACCCAGCCCTGCTGTGGGGAGCTGGCGGCTGGCCCCACCTCAGCCTGAGCAGCATGTGCCCCACGGCTCACTTCACTTTCACTTTAGCTCCACCAGTAAAGTCCCTTGGGCCTGGAATGTGACCGGACCAGGCCCTGCCCAGCCCTCAGCTGGCAGCTCTGTCTGGGAGGAGGGCTCCTGTCGCTCTGACACAGAGACTGCCACACCTATTCCTGCCTCACCTCCCCCCAGCCCAGCCCCTACCTGCTCCTGCCTCACCTCCCCCCA